GTGTTGGGGAAAGCACCGCATCCACTGCCCAATCCTGACACAGAGTACAGTATAATCTCTTCAGGCTTTATTTTAGCAATTCTTAATTTTGGAATACTTAACTTTGCAATCTTTATGCCCTTTTAATATGGGGTCTGTTTAATTTTTTTAATTATGATCTCTTAAAAGGTTCCAAGTCTTAATAATTTGAATTGATATATTAATTAATGAAGTGATTTGCAGATTCCTCAAAAATGTAATTGTGCTCGAGGAGTAAACAGCTGTAAGATGGCTGAAGGCTAGATGCTGAGTTTTCTCATATAAAGCTAAATGCCTGAGTTGAAGCTTTAATGGCAAAATATCACTCAGCCTTAGCTACAGCTACTGCCTTAATTACAGCCTTACCTACAGCTACTGCCTTCACTGCAGCCTTAACTACCCACTGCTACTGGAACCATTTCTTCAGTCTCTCCCTCTCTTACTTTTCTATGTGATCTGTGGCTGTTGCGTTCTCCGCTCAGGATGCTTTAATGTTTGTCCTTCTCCTGAAGAGTTCCCTTTATCTGTTTTGCTACTGCTCTGGCATTTCCCTTCATCTCAGCCCTTTGCTACCCAGCATGGGGGGACAGCACAGGCAGCCTTTTGCGCTAGTGGGTAGCCTCTGTCTCTGGAAGCCAGCTTGGAGATGGTGGTTAACAGGGGGGAAAGAAGGGACTTGAGCATCCAAGTGACAGCAAAAGCAGCTACACATAGGAGGACTTCAGTGCACTTGTACAACCTCGTGTATCAAGGTAACTTGATGCATAAGAAATACAAAGGGAAGGAGATTTCTTATTTCTCCCTCTCTACAGAAACTCTGCCTCCAGCTGTAAGGCCTAAAAAATGGCCCTCGAAGAAGCTTTTCTTCTTCCCCAAGTAGTACCATCTTAAGGCACGGAACTGAAGGACATGGACACTCATCTCTGATGGACCTGGGCACCAATCAGGCAGTGTAACGCATGATTTGTCACACTGTGGAGTAGGATCACGCAGCTTTCCCTGTGCTTCTTGGCCAACCAACTGCTTCTCTGGAAAAGCAGTTGCTGCGTATTCCCGGATAAACCACGCATGGGCAGTGGATTTGTGTGTGCACAAGTGCAGGTCTCTCTTACCTGCGTAATGAGACCTCTAGGTCAGAGGCACATCACACCTGCACTGAAGATATGGCCTGGTTGTCTCAGATCTGCTGTAGCTGCACTGTATCGCGATGTGCACAGATCAAGAACTACTTTTCTGGTTTGTCAGATGACATTCAGGATAGATACATCAAGGATATATACATTTCTTTCTGAAGGCCTGACTTACCTGTCAAAGGCTGTCCTGGATTTCACAGTTGCACTCAGGCTTATTTCCTCAGGTTGAAATCCCAGATAATGCTTTGCTAAGGTCCCCCAAGATCCTTAAGATTACTGTGTCCTAGCGCCATAGCTGTGAATGACCGTTCAGAGAGCCCTTCCTGTCCCAGGCAGACTAGCGTGGGAAAATCCACATCACCCTTGAAATAAACACTGCCAACATCCGTGCTTTTTTTGCAGCAGTACCCGCAGGCAGCAACTGCTTCTTGATCTTGCTGAGCGATATAGTTTTTTGTTATCAAGGACAGATTGTGGCTTTTGCTGCACAGAGATGTAGCAAAACGAAGAGGAGATGGCCTAGGGGAAGAGGCAGGGAATGTTGCTCTTGACACACGTATATTGAATAATTAGTGATAAGAGCCAAAGAAATATTCATGACTCTGTAGAAAGATAAATAGATTTTTGATTAAATTTGAGTTTTCTCTTTAAAGCAGTTGAAGTTGCTCTGTGATTGGCAGCATGGAAATGAGTTTGCTGTGGATTCTGGCTGGACGGAGGATCCCTTTTAAGAGCTGTTAGCCAAGATAATGCTGCAGATATCTAGCTAGTGTGTTGCTGGCAAGAATTCAGAATGGCTGTGCCAGAAACCTGTGCTCTCTGGGCAGTTGCAGTGCAGCTGTTGAATGATTGAATCAATCCAACTTGTTCAAAGGATTTATTATAGCATTTTCTCCACCCATTCTCCTAGATTTTAGCAGAATTTCAGTGGTGCCTTGTAAGACACCTAGCAGATTCCACTGCACTCCAGCTGACCTCAGGAAGGTAAATGCTTTAAGTGCATTTGCTAGTGGGAGACATAAATAGGTAGGTACCTATCCTGGATTCTTCACAACACTTACATTCTTCTTTCCAAGGATGGTAGCACAGGAAGCTGTAAAGGTAGTTGCATTGCTCAGCATCCACGATTAAGAGTTCTGAAATCTTTGTTGAAATCATTGTATACAAATAAAAACTCAGAAGCACTCTGCAAATCGAGCTACTGACTCTTCCAGTGCATGTCAGATGGCACAGCCACACAAGAAGTATTGTGCTGAAGGATGATGCTGAACTGTACAGGATACCATGTAGGATTTGAGAGGCCTGGCTTAACTTTCTGGCTCAGCCACAGACACCACCTGTAGCAGCCATTTAATGTACCGTGCGTGTCTTTGTGACTCACCTTCTGTAGGAAAGGCAATGGTAGCATCGTACCTGGCAGAAGCTAAAATGCATGCAAGACTGAGAAACTCAGACATGCGAAGTGACAGGAGCTCCACAGTTACCTAGATTGTGTCTTCACTCCTTTTATTACACCCTCATATGTTTTCCAATATACCTAATGTGACTCAGTTACACAGAACATGTTAGAAGTGTTTTTTCTATTCTGAGGTGACTAAACTGAGTGAATGTTCATGGTCTCCCTATGGACCTATGGTATAGGTATGGTATTCCTATACTCTTTATGCTACTGTGTTTTTTTCCAAATTATAGTTGCATTACTACCTTCCCTGCAGCTCCCACACTGCCCTCTTTCCCTGCTCCATCTAAGCAGTCTAGCGCTGGTGACAGTTGGCTGTGCTTGTCCAGTCCTGTGTTGTGGTCCCAATTCTGGTGCTGCTTCTTAATTCTGGTTTGTGCGTACCTTAAGGATGGCCTGTACACTGCACACTGTTTTTATGATATGAAGACACCACCACTAGTCAAGTATTTTCACAACAATAATTTGACTTGTCTTCCAAAAGTTTGTAAGGTCATGCATTAGACCAGTGATGAGACTGTTTAGTGGTTAAGGCTTTGTGGTATTAAAAAGGGCATGTGTAGAGTAGCTGTTGGGTTGCTATAAAGAAACAAATTCACAGGAAACAATATATGTTAGACTGTCTCACTCTGGCCTCACTTTCTCTCCAGTGGTGGCCAGCAGTATGCTGCAAGACCTCCATATCTGTCCCCACTTAGTCAAGAAGAAATTATTTTATTAACGCTGCTGACAGCTTTAGCTTTATTTCATTTTTGTCATTATGCTCTGTTACTAGAGAAGCTTTTGCCCTAAAAGATTAAAGGCTCGTACAAATCCCAGTGAATTCAGTCATACAAACTTTGGTGAGTTATGAAAGCTGTGGTGGCATTGCTCTTGTTTTAGTCAGAAGAGTAGACTCACGGTGAAGTTCTAGTCACCTTTTTCAAACTGTGATCAGCTGCAGCTTTTAAAAACGTTAAGTAACCTTGTCCACGTCCATATGGCTGCAGCGACAGAGCTGCCAAGAGAGCCCAGGTAGTCTGTCCTACCCGCTAGGCACAATTCCATTCTTTCTGATCTCCCAAGTGCCAACTCTGGCCAGCTCTCTGAGGGAAGGCTCTGGCTTCCATTATCTGTTTTGACACTCAAATCGAGTCAAATTTTTAAAATCCAGTCTAAATTAAGACACTTGGGATCACCACTGAGCAGGTAGACCTGGTTAGAATACCTGTGATAACCTCTTAAATGGGGGGCAGGGGATTGTACAAAACTCGTGAGTTCCACCTTTCCTAGAATTTGTGAGAGATCAGCTGCATTTTTCTCTCCTTGCTTAAGCTTTGCTGTCAAGGTAGCTGCAGTCCCCAGTGTACCCTCAGTTTATTATCATGGTCTGCCAAAAGCTGTGATACCAAATCAGGGCATTCCATGCCCACGGGATGATATTTTGCCATAAGATAAGTGCAGTGTGTATGGAAATTCAATTAATGGGCTGTCTCACTGGGCATTAGTGTAGCATCCTAGCACAAAGCTAACCTCACTGTGCTTCTGTTTTGCTCATTACTTTGTGAGACAGGTATTGCCCAGACATGATTGCGTTTGTCACAAGAAACAAATGCACAAATGAAGACAGGCTCAGGGACTGCTGGGAGGTGTCAGTATAAACAATAGCATGATTTGCACACAGGTCTCAGACAGTTTGCATCCCTTTTACTTGTCAAGTTACTTTAATGAAGGCTATAAAATAAATAGCCGAGGCTGTAATCTTTAGGAATTAAAATGATTACCTGGCAAGTAGAAGTAATTAACTATTCTCAGCCAGGAATCAAACCAGAGATATATGGGTAGAAGGATGTGAAAAGAATATATTAACTCCCTAGATGATAGTACTACTGTCCATCCTTTTTAGTTTTTGTAAAGAAAAAAAAAAATTGCATGCTGAAATCATGTGTCGGCAGCTTTTACGACCGCTGGAGTAATTGAGAGCAATCTTAGCAGAAGAGATGCAAGGTATGGTTTAGGGATGCATGTGTTTGGTCTGTAAATATTGTTCTGTCTTTTTTCTCATAAAAGGATATCCAGCGTGGGCCTTCCTTCTGATTAGATACAAGGCCAAGCTAAAGGGTGGGATTAGAGGGCTGGAATTCTATATAGTCACAGAATATGCCTGGTCTTCTCTTCCTTTCCTTACTTTTAAGAAGTAGGGCCATGAATTTTGAGTTATGCTAGGTCTTGGCCATTTTCTGAGTTTCTTAGAAATGTGTTCTCACTGAGGTAAGGAAAAAGTGCTGGTTTTGCACACCTGTGTTTTCTATAAGTGAGCCAATTATGAATCTGCTAAACAAAATGGAAATGCATGTAACCGATAAATACCAGGCTGTTACATGCTCATTTGACTGTATTTTGTGTTTCAGATCACCACATTATGCTTGCCCTGAAGTCATCCGGGTAAGTTGGTTCACATTAGTGTGTATCAATACATTTTTTTAAAGTGTCATGCATTGCAAGTACGCAGATAGACCCTCTGTACGGGAAATCTGTCCAAGGCAGACAGCAGTGGAAAGGACCCGAGGAACGTAACTATGGTTTTGTTTGTTTGCCTCAGCCCTGAATCAGGCCACATCGACCAGATGAGGGGAATGATTATATGTAATTCTCACAGCACCCTTCGTGCCACGTGATCAGACAGAAATACAGCAGCCTAGTTTAACTTGATTTTTCCACTCAGGGGATGCAGCCCCCTATGCTTTCCTGTCTCTGATGGGCTGTCATTTCAGCAGAACTGGGGTTGGCTCTCAGTGCCGTTGGTTTCCATTAAACGATGCAAACTATCCTTTCCTTCTGGTCTCCCCTTGCCCTCTGAAAATAAGTGGCCAAGATTTCCCTCTTTTAAGGCACATCTTTAATGTAAAGCCAATCAGGAAGTGTGCAGAAGAGACTGTCTGGACAATACTATGAGTTTGCAAGTAATGTGGCTGGTGACAAGCTCACAGAAGAACCAGGGGAGAGAAGAACACCTTCTTGACATCCTTTAATGCACTTCTGACACTGTTTAAGTGCCAGATCATTTGTGAGTTGTCGACCATTCCTGCCCTGCTCCCCACTTCTGAGCTTGTTCTCACAGATCCCAGATAAGACTGTAAGCTGATGTTCATCAAAATTCAATTAATGAGCTGTGTCATGGCCTCCTCGTTGGGAAGGCCGCCTTGGGAAGCACGTGGTTGAATTGAAATGTGGGGTTTCCCATTCTTCCCTCTCTTGTTCTTCAAGGATAATTAATTCATTTACTAGTGAGCAGTCTTTTGAACCTCTGTGTCATTCCTGCGCAGGGAGAAAAATATGATGGAAGGAAAGCAGACGTCTGGAGCTGCGGAGTCATTTTATTTGCGTTGCTAGTGGTGAGTCATCTTCCTTGCGCTATCCTTTAAAAAGAAAAGAAAAAAATCCAGAAATGCTGCTGTGTTTAATGGCGATTCTATTGACATCATGTACAGATGGGTTTTTTTAGTTCCCCTATTTTTGTATCTCTCGGTTGCATCCTCTCCTCTTACTTCTACATCAGTCCCAAAGGAAAAGCGTGAGGAATATTTCACTGCTTCTTTGAAATGCTGCTGCCCTGCACAAGGAGAGCATAGACAAGCATCAAAAACTTGTACCCATAAATCCTCTTTGCTGTGTAGTGACATTGCAGCACGTTTTTTGACTGGAAAGGATGCGCAGGTTACAACTCCAGGATACAGAGAGTGTCAAATAAGTTGTCCTTTACAGAATCAAAACATGCCTGGGTTTGGGAAGTGTTTGGTTTTTCTGGTGTGTGTGTATATATGTGTTTCAGAAGGTATATGCATACATTAACTGCAGTGTTTTATCAAGAGAAGACTTGAGTGAAACAATTTTGTTTCATGCAAGTATTGAGCTACATTTTAATTTGGTACACTTGGGAATATAAAACTGAGCCAGTAGTACAAAGTTTAAATTAGTTTCCATCTGGCTCAGTAATGCTTTCTTTAGTATTCAAAATGTGGTACCCTGTAACTTACCCTTCTTTTGATCAAAGTTTCAGTTCTCTTGTGGAATTTATTCTGATTTGCAGTGGTAATGTAATACTCCTGAACATACAACAATTGGATGTCCAGCTGAAGGCAGACAGGCTTGGCACTTCTTAGCAATTTCTATAGTATAATGTAGGAAAACACAGGTTTTGTTCATATAAGCATATACCATGTGCAGCTTGAATACTGTATATGAGAATAGATTTTATGTGCGTGTTGAGATTTTTATATCTATAATAGTTCAGATTATCATCTACAATTATAAAAATAACGAGCCTGAAGTCACATTTTTAAGTCCTTGTACATTTACTAATAAACCTAATTACTTCAATTTAAAGGATTTATTTTGACAAAAGCATTTGTACAATGTACAGAGTTAGATTTGGCACTTTTTTTTTTGTTTGTTTAAAATACTTGAAAATTTTAAAGGATTTTTTGTTTCCAAAAATATGCTGATAATTTTTTAAATGGCCCAAATCAAAACACCTTGACATAATCTCAGTATGATACTTTAATTCACCTTAACCCATATTACTCTTTTTTCCTTTTTAGTCACTACAATTCACTGACATTTTTGAAGTTTCAGATTATTTATCCTGATGTTGCAAGGGAAAAATTTTAACTATCTCACTAGATAGCACCTGGTCATCTGTTGCTCCTGAGCAGCTATTTTCATGGCTGATAAAATAGAACTGTATAATGAGTTCTTAATATAACTTCTTGAATTTTTAAGAATAGAAGAGAGAATGTGTCAAGATGGTTAGGATTTGTAGGAGTGGGCTTTTGATTTTGGGGGTGATTCTCTGTCAAGATTTGGTGTCTCTCTGTTGCAGCATCTTCATCTGTTCTTACATATGTACAGGAGCCTGCGAAATGATTGAAATAAGTCTGTTATTGATGGAGAGTGCAAAGCTCTCCAGTTGATTATGTCAGGGCAAGCCCTACAAAAAGTCTCAAGCTGTAATAGCAGCTGGTAGTAATAAAAGAGCTGTAGTTGTTACCTTCAGGAAATGCCACAAAGCAGCCTTGCTGACTTCACCGTGGCTTAAATTGTGTTACCCAAAGTACTGACCTATCGGAATTGATTTTCCTTTAAGTCTGGAATGGTTAGGGGAAAAGTAGGTAACTCAGGAGATTGGTTACAGAAGACGGGGAGGCTCTTTCTTCAAGGCCACTTGAATGAACAAACAACAGCAAATAGTGCCCAGTAGTGGTTGCCATCAGGTGGGCTTTCTGAGGCTTCTGTAAATGGAGCTGTTGGTCTCCGTAAACCATAGGCACAGGATTGCTTCTACAGATGCACTACTCGCTGTAGTAAGAGCAGTGCCAGAATTGACAACTTAAAGCTTCATTATCACAGCAGCTGACAGCTTGCAGCTTCCCACAAACCATCCTGGAAATCAAGGAAGCTCAGCACCTACTAGAATTAGGCAGTGAAAGAAGGAAGTGAGAATATCTAGGAAGGTGCAGACTTGCTATAAAAGGGTATCAACTTCAGTTGGTGGAGTTATCCTAAAGATTTCAACTTCTTTTTTTTCCTTTTTGTCCTTGCAGCAAGCATAGGTCTTTTGCTGCTTTTTGTGGCAAACTGATGATCTATGTGAAATGTAATTTCAGCTAAAAAAACCTTAAGCCGTTTATGTAAGTGAGTTACAATAGAGAAACAATAGGAACTGATGGCCTGACCACAGCATGGGAATGGAATGGAGTCTATTAAACAGGTCGAATGTCTGCTGCTTCCAAAGGCTGATGTTGGCTAAGGCTTCCTTCAGCTGAGTCATTTCACTGCTCCATCAGAAAGAGGGTGTTCTTACGGTCTCTCAGATGCTGTTCACCTCCTTTTCAATGTCTGCAATAAACGTATCTCAGGATGTAAATAAGGAGATGATAAATGTTGGTGCTGTGAAAGTATGCCCAGGAGGAATACTTTCAAAATATCAAGAGCTTGAGCTACATTTAAGTGAATCCATGCATCTTTGGTGAATTTGCCTGGAAAAGCAATTTCATATTTTGTATTATGTTCTATACTGGTAATAACTTTCTAATTAAAGGTCTAATAACAAAAACTATGTCCTCAGTTTTGTTTCCTGTGTTGGCGTAAATACAGCAGCACTAAGAAATAATTTCTTTTCAATGGATAAAAAGGTTTTTTCACATATTATAATAATTTATTATGAGCTGCCTTCCTCTTTTCCGTTCTCTCACCATGTTTATCCTGGCTTTTCTCCTTTTGCCCTCCCCAATTCCCTTTCTCTCATCTCTCCCATCCACCACTGTCACATCCCTGCAGGGTGCCCTGCCTTTCGATGACGACAACTTGCGGCAACTGTTGGAGAAGGTGAAACGTGGAGTGTTCCACATGCCACATTTTATCCCGCCGGACTGTCAGAACCTTTTGCGGGGGATGATTGAAGTGGATGCCTCGAAACGTCTCACGGTAAGAAGGCGTTTGCTGTGAGTCATGTGAGCAAGGCTTCGTTTGTCACCTTCTTGCAGTTCCGGTTGAATAACTAAGGTAACTTGTTGATTTGCTGCAACTCCTGTGTGTTTCCTCCTGAGCAAAGAATGAGTGGAGTTGGTGGAGCCTTTGGGAAGAAGTTAGTTACCTTCTCTTTTGAATCCTGAAGGCAGATTACCTTTGTGTCTCTTCTCTGCCTCATAATTCTCCTTCATATATAACAGTGGGCATTTAGAAGAAATCCCTCATAACGTCATTAGAGTGCTACTGACCCATTAGCACATTTTGGAGCGCACCTGAGTTGTCTGGCTCTCCAGGCTGGTACAGCAGTTTGTTGGGGACATGATGTAACTGTTTGAAGGTCAAAACTGCTAGGACTGTTATTTGAAGCTTTGCTATTAAACAGAATATGCTTTTCTTACATTTTTGACAGAAGTGATGGCTTCTCACTCCATGCCACACAACCTGCGTTGTATTCTATGCTGGATTTGCTCTGCATTAACCTCTAGCAGCCTTCAGAGCAAGTGTCTTCCAGTCTTGTGCCCTGCAGTCCTGAGCACCATCAGCCCCACAGTGTTGAGCTCCTGGCACTCAGCACTGAGTCTTTGCACCTGAGATACAACCCATCACTTCAACAAGAGACTCTACAAGGGTGGGCTTTACAATCACTGTGTAGTGATTGTATCCTTCATTAACACTGCGTTAATGTTTTGGGGAATTAAAAAAAAAAATTAGCAATTAAAATCATTTTGGAAAGCAAGATTGCCTGCTTGTCAGTGGAGGCGTCTGCCTTTATGGGTACATTGCCCTTGTAAATCCTATTGTCAGGCTGTGGTGATGATTTTATACAGATTTACTAAGCTCACAGATTCTGAGTGGGAGTATGTATAAAGAAATGTAAATTTAAAACTCCTCCTGGTTCTTCAGTCTGCTAAAATATTTATAAATAAACTCTCAGATCACTGCTTGGCCTCTCTGCTGAGATTGCTAACAACAGCATCAGTCTGTGCCAGCTGTGGTGGTGCTTTTGGGATGCAGACACCTGTCTGCTAAGAAGTGAACTGAAACTCCCTTCGCAACTCTCTTTACAGTATTACCTGACAGCTGCAGTTGGGTCTTTCTTCCATTCATTATGAAACCAGGTCATGCTCTATTTAGTGACGTAGGTGAAAACTTCTTTATGATATTACTAGTATCCCCACTTCTGCAAACCTAGTAGCCGTCACATTTGCAATACATAAGTAACACTGATGGGGGGAAAATACCCCACACAAAATACCAGGCACTTTAAAAGGCCTTTCTTAAATAGATTTTTAAAGAAATAATGTTTTCCAAGTATTTTCATGGTAAAGCCACTGCAGAGGTTAGGGCTATACTCTGAGACATGAAACAGCTGTTCTTAATGACCAAGAAAGTCACTAAGTCTCTCTTTTGCTTAGTTTCCATTCCATAATGTAAACATAACAGGTTTTCTGTTGGGTTTTTTTTCCTCTCAAAGATCTTAGTGCCAATGGTTTGAGTATGCCAGGGAGCAAATCATCAGATGATGGATCTTCTTCAAATTGTTCTGAGTTTTTCCGTATAGCGTAGTCCCTAAATGTTTTGAATTGTGCAATACAGCAGAAAATGTACACGAGTAAGAGAGAAAACAGTTAAGGCAAATCAAGGTTCCAGAGTGGCACCCCCCTCCCCCCCTCCTTTTCTTGATCAAAATTGAGCTCTTATTTCCTTAGGGAGGAAAAAACCCAGGTACTTATTGACAAGCACTAACCAGTGAACTGTGAATTCAAAATAAAACATATTCAAGAGCTGGGAGTCAGGAGGAAAAAAGGATAGCTCTTTGTTATTAGCCGCAATCTTATTTTCATTATTTTAGGGACTCTTGGTTTGCCATCTCTGCTGCTGTCACACTTGTAGGCTGTTAGCGTAGATTGCCAGGCAGAAGGGAGCTCTTTGTTTACCATACAGGCGCTGGGAATATATAGTTCATTTTGAGGAGAGATCTGAATTCTATTTTAGCTGTGTCCTGTGAAAAAGGGTAAAAATATGGGCTTATTTGGAAGCCTTTATTCCTCGAAAATATCTCACTTGAATCAATTTGATATTTATACAAAGACCTGAGCAAAAAATTGTGGCTTGGGTACAGTAAGTACAGATGTAGCTGTTACCATTACTGACGCTCAATATCTCACTGGTGAATTCAGCATAAAAATACAGTGAAATATAAGGTCACTATAATTTTTTTCTTTCATTTTTCCCTTCCTCTCTCTTCTTTGTTCCTTTTTTTGATTTGTATCTCTTTTCATCCAACTGCATTTCCCTCCCTGCAGTAATTGCCATTTCACAGCACACCCACACCTTCCCCAGTCCATCTGTTAAAATGATCAACAAAAACAGAACTAGCGTTCACGTTTAACTGTCATCATTCGGCTTCAGTGTTAGAGCCTGAGAAGATTAATGAAGAGGAGGGTACTCAGAATTATTGTTGTTGGCCCTTTCCTGCCTTAAGAGATAGGCATTACCTTTCGTTGTATAGGATTCATTTATGGAAAGGAGACCTTATTATGTCTTAGTGGAATATTGTTCATGCTCACATCACGTATTATGTAGTCTCAAGTATGGTTAGTGGGACGTCCTTTACCACTGTCCTTTACTGGGCCTATTTTACTAAACATGCTTTAAAATCAAAGAACCCATGTTTTGCTTTCAGTACACTGCAAAGTTCATCCTAGCTGCTGGTTATGGTATTTCTGACCACCCATACTCATCAAAGATGAAAACACAAAGAATGAGTACTAAGGTGGTCAGCATTTGAGAGAGCCTGTCTGAATAGCACAGCCTAAAAGAGCTCCACGTAGTCTACACAGATGATGTCTAAGAAAGGTTGTACTGGTCGTCTGCATATTCATTAGAGGTAATTACTAGTGAGAGAAGGATTATTTAAACTAAAGAAAGATACTGGCACAAAAACAAATGTATGTCAAATGGCCTTACAGGAAAGTAGGCTCGAAATTAGAAGCAGCATTTGAGCCATATTAGTGGGGTTCTGGGACAGCTTTCTATTAAGAGTGGTGTCAGGAGGAAGAAGTGAACTAGTTTTAAGTTTGAGAAGGTTTATGGAATAGAGTGAGTGCTCTTGGTGCCTGCAGTATCTTTTAGTTATGTGCTTTTCAGAAAGTGAATGTTTTTTTCCTTGGAGGTTTCAAATGATTCAGCATCTCTACAGCAGAGAATCACAGCTCCTGTAGTGGAACCCATTTGCATTCTCAGCTGATATTTTCTTCTACAGAAACACAAAGGGGGCAGAATAAGGAGCTTTTGGTCAACTTTTCTTTTAAAAATGGATGAGCATTATCAAAATTTTGTCTGTAGAACAAGGCAGATCAGAGCAGATATTGCAGAATAAGCTATTCTGATAAAACTGTGTTGTGGTTTAAGACCAGAGGGCAACTGAGCACCACAAATCCAACACAAGCTGTTACTGTTCCAGTGCTGACATTTTATTCCAGAGTAGAATGACTTGTCTTCCATGCTGGGTGTCCACATAGTCTGAAATACTTGTCCCTGAATATTATCCAATTTAAATTACACACATTTTCAGAATCTCCCCCCTGATCTTTGTTTGATTTTGTTTCTTCTTGGATTTAATGTATGCTAATGAGGGACCACACCATCTAGAGAATGTTAAAAATAAATGAACAAGGGAAAACTCACCTGATTACTTCTTTGTTTTTTCTAAAAGGTCTTATGGTAAGGTGCTTATCACATCATTTAAATTATCTCACTTCACCACTTGTAGAATGGAGATAATTGTCCAGTTGATGTATTTTGGCTGTAAGCTTTTGACTGCCAAGGGCCTATTCATGCACCGTGCACATAGCACAGGGATACTTTGCCCTTGTCAAGGTCCCTGGAGGCTGCTATAGTACGGCTGCTACTACTGACACGGATAATAGTTTCACCAGTGCTGTTAGCACTGCCACCTTGAATCCCTTGGTCAGGAAAAGCCTCTATCTTGACATTATACAGTAGGTTTAAAGCTCAGACTAGAGGATCTTCTGAATGAAGAAGATTCATCTGAGGTGTGGGTCAATTTAGTGCACAGATAGGCTTGAGACTGTTTGCTTTCGGGACAGGGAAGTTTGAAATTTGACATGAGTTCAAGCCCAGAAGCCTTCATTCATATCCACAGACTTTGAGAAAGTTTTTCTTTAGGGCAGAACTTTTTAGCTTGGCAACCGCTCTGCTGAGATCAGTGCCGAGGATGTAGACAGCGCTGTCTTGTTTTCCATCTGCCTGTCTGTCTCCATCTGTTGTTCCCTGCCTTAGAAATCAGACGTAAGCTCCTTGGGGGAGGAGACCTCTTTATCTGATGAGCTTGTACAGCTTTGTAGCACAATGGGTCTCTCATCTGTGAGTGGGGCTCTAGATGCTACTTCAGTATACAAGTTGAATATATATTGCAAGTATTTTTACATAAAATTGTGATAAAGGAATTCCCCTTTTGCTTCCATTACAGCATTTTAGCTTGCAGAAGTCTTCCCTCTGACTGTGCATGTGCAATGGATCCGATCATGTTTTGTTGTTTCGGAGATGGCGTCATCAGACAATTGCCTGCGGTGGCTAGGAGATATTAGGAAGCAGCATTTTTACAGCTTCCATAAAATGGCATTAAATTTGGCAAATTCATGTGCAAACAGCAAGAAGAACCCTCTGGGAAGGGTTGTTAAATGCCTTCGTCACTTAAATGCATTTAAACATTGTGTTTAAATGAAGGCAGGAGGAGTGAGATTAGCTCCCACTGTGTATCTCCCTCCCCTGCGTTGCATAGTAAAAAGCATACAGACTTCTCCTTGTCAAAACCAATCGCCCTCCCATAACCCTCCTGTCACTTTAGTGCAGATGAGAAGCAACAAAGAATTAATTAATTACCTTTAAAAAAGTAGTGAAGATGTTGGCAGCAGCAAGCATACTTGTAATAATATTTCAATGCAGTTACGTTTGAATCAGAACAGAAATGGGTTTCACAGAGTACCTTTCATACCTGGGACATCCCAGCATACTTCACAGCAGTGGTTTTGCTGAGGATTGAATGGCAGATGTGTAGGTAAGCAGCAGCCATGAGAGCTCTCATACACCTTCAAATATATATCACGGTGCTACGGGGCTTCTCTTTCAGAGGAATGCTAAGGGTTCATTAGCTTCAAGGAAGATGATCAGCAGGGATGGGCAGAAGGGATTCCTCCTTGACATCTGCTCTGAACGAGCCCAGAGGTTCAATGACTAAGCCGTGAACTGATGACCCTCCTTCCTTTCCCCTCTGTGACTCAGAAAATGAAGTTCTGTTGCCTGCTTCGCCGTGGCGTTTCTGCATATCGCAGGCACAAAAGAACAATGTGACCCATGGAGACAGAAGATGCAGCAGGAGAAGCAAGCATGAAAGAGGCTTGGACATCGCTTAGCTGTATCATCTGCATCTTGTCTGAAATCATTATTGTCTCTAACCCTCCATGTGGTGTATGTGAAATAATGAGTAGATATGCATCTCAGAGTGGTTTTACCAAGCAGAGGTACAGTACTCTCCCTAGCAGATCCTCACAGTACCATGGTCCTGATAAGTAACCGTGCTAAAATCCTGTCCCATGGAAACTGTACAAAATGGACTCTTATTATGTTCTGTGTTTGCACCTCAGCTTGCAAAGAACTAGGAGGAAGAAGGCTGTGTCTCCAGGCTGCTAGGGGAACACCGTAACGTGCACCTTATCTCGAGTTAAGCTGGTCAGGGGCGATGGCAGGGTGTAAGGAAAACTCCACCTTTTTTGTAATAGCAGTTCAGGGATGAAGGGATTGCCTAATGCAAGGGGAATTGTGATGCAGGGGAATTATTGTGACAGAGCTGAGGCCACAGCTGGAAATTCTGCAAGTTTGCCCGGCCCCCCTGGATGTGTGTGCTGGGGGGCACTGGTGCTCCCAGCGCTTGGGCTGGGGAGAGCACAGCTAGATATGCAAGTACCAACTGCATCTCTGATTGCAGTGTTGTAAAGTCTTGGTTTTAAAAGGTGCTGTTTGTCTCTCATACTGATCCCTCCAGCCTCTTGTCATGCTTCCCTGAGCTGCGTTCCCTTGTTTCTTTGTTTTCAAGAAAAAACGTTTCACTTAAAAAATGATCTCACAGAGAGCCGACCTCAGATCTTCCTGGTTTCCCAGGCATGGAGCTGTTGTTCCATAGCACAGAGGTCTCTGATTCCTTGCTCTCTGTGGCAAACACCTACTTGCTGTCTCTGAGATTTTGTTGTTTGTCTGTTCCTCTTTTCTTTTTTTTTCTCTCTGATTCTCATTATTCTGGTATTGAAGTGGAAAGTAATAAGAGCAGGACAGCTGTCTCCGTTCTTCCTGACCAGTTTAATGGGTCTGTGATTTCACCTTATAGCTGTTAGCACTTGAGTTTCCTTCCAGCTCTTGCCTGCCTCTCACCAGTGTGTTGCACAAGCACAAGCCTGTGTGCAGTGAGTGTGCATATTGCTCTGCGTGTACAAAGGTGCTTCATAATGGGGAATATGAGAAATATTGTCTGCATAATTAATAATCCCTGGGCACCTCTGAAAAGGTCTTTTCTATTGTGTGATGCTTAAAAAAAAAAAAAAAAAAACCAAACCCCACAGAATAGGAAGGTTCTGCTGTAAGTATGTCATGTGAACTTTTTGTTCACTGTTAAAAGAGTTTCTCTTGGGAAAAGGGTGTTACTCTTTTCACCATGCTTGTGGAAAACACTGTGGTCGTGTAACATTTGCTGGGATCTGCCTTCCATGGGTGGACAAGGGCTCTGTTGACCTTTGATCAGTCCTTCATTGCATAGTAAAACACTTCGGTGTGAAGCAGGAAAAAGGGAAGTAAAAGAAATTTGCAGTCTGGTGTTCAGGTGCTGGAACAATAAGTGGTGCTATTTTGACATAGAACCTTATTCTAATTGGTCTTCAGACTTTAACGATAAATGTAAAGCCAATCAAGAATGGGTCCTGGCAGGAGGTCATATCACACATGCACAATTTCTGTTGTTTATTCACATTATCTGTTTGAACCTGTTTGTATTTTCTTCTCTCTCTCTCTTTTTTTTTCCAAAACAAAACTAGAAATGAACTTAAGGTGTAAAGAGTCAGCTATTATGCACATATAGAAAGGAACAATTTGTTAGCTTCAATTAAGTTATAGAGGAGAAGGGCTTAGGAAGGGAAAAACTTAAATTGCCAAACCATTTGCCTGTGAAGCCCTTGTATTTTATTCATTTTCCTGGGATTTGCTTCTGAATGATTCCTTATGCCCAGAATTACAGTCTCATTTCCAGTGAGGATGAGGATGCACAGAGCTCCTGTTGTTTGCACAGATCCATCTCTGGAACGTTACACTTACTTGAATAAGCCTCGAGTAAAGATGTCTTGTAGAGTTACCTTTTCTATTTTACACCACTAATTCCTTGTTTTCTTTTCCTTTACAGCTAGAACATATTCAGAAACACATATGGTATATGTAAGTAACACTTCTTAAATTCCCTTTTGCATGCATTCTTTATTGGTTCTGTTACAAGAGCTGATAGTCTAATGATCTCTGAAGAGAAAGACTAGAGTTTGAAAGCAGCTTTCACACAGGTGGAGAAAGGGACAGAGGACAGAAAGGCATCTCTTTTTTTTTTTTTTTTTTTTTTTTTTTTTTTTTTTTTTTTTTCCTTGTGCTACTCATATAATTTTATCTATATATACCTCAAGCCAGGAACATTTTCTACAGTGGCTAGCAATTGTTTGAAATAAGACGTTCAGTCCAGCAACTTGCTGTGTTAAAAAGATACCTGCAAGTGAGCAGGAAAAAAACCCCAACTAAGCGCCATATTTAATTTGCTATCCAAGTGCTACAGACAATCCCTTGTAATACCTTCTTGACAAGAAAGCTTTAATTCGCTCCTTCTCAGCATCTTGGCTTTTCTCTGAAGTAGAAACAAAAATGATGATATTGATAAGTAAGCACCTGTGAACAGGAGTATTTCTGTCTCATAATCCCTACTCCTCCTTCTTCACAGCAAGCTAAGAGGCTGCTTCTGACCTTGTAACCTGTTGATGCGAGAGTAGTTTTGTGGCTTGATTAAAAGCAGCAGTCTTGACAGTGAAACAGGAGGTCTGTGAGAAAAGTACACGCCTGTCTAGTGGTTTGGGTGTAAGGAAGATTGATGGCTTTTAAAAGTGACCTTGCACTTTATGTAGCCTTAATAGTATATCAAGAAACCTAAGTAAATAACAATTTTTTTTTTTATATACTGATGATAAAAACTAATCAAACTAAGGAGAATACTTCACATATTAAACAAGGAAATGATGCTTTGATACAGGCTTCTAAGGGTCAGCATACCTACAGGTTCCCCAGGTGGGTAATAGGGAAAGTCCTGCCTTCATAATCCTATCATTGCTCTTGGGAAATACTTGAGGATGATATGAACTGATGTTTAAGCCTGTCACCAGGGAAAAAAAACACCTTTGTTTTGATTTGTTTTGTTCTCTCTAACTCTGTCTTATGGGTAATGTTCACTTCTGGATTTATCTGACTTCGATGGTACCTGAGGGCATTCAACAGTTTGTTGAATAATATGGTTTTTTTCTTAGTTCACCTGAAATGGTGGCAGCAGTCTGCCCATTGCTTTTTCATGCTCTCTACAGTTACCAGTTGACATGGCACCTTTTTAAACCAAAGAAGGACTGGAGTGTTGTTTGCTGCAGGTTTTGGGGTTTTTTTTTTAGAACTCATGGATAAATGGAAGGGTGAAATCTCTAACTGTAATCTCTGAAATACCCCTCCTATAACGACTTGCTAGCAATTCTAGAAGTAAATGCTGTTTACATCAGACTGGAGAGCTGATCCCTATTACTTTAACCCTCCTCAAGATTTTTGCCTGTGAGTTTTCACCTGTTGGAGGACTGTTGTCCTGGATTCACACGCACAATTAGGCAGGAGTTATTTCATGACTTTATTCTAGAATTAGAATTTAAAGATTTTTTTTTCCTTGCAGACATAAGCGTTCGAACATTTTCATGCACTTCTTAATGCAGGTCAGACTCTCTGATGATTGAGACAGTAAACAGTTTTTTACACCAATGGAAATAGCATCTGAGGCTGATTTCAGAAGTAGCAATTGAGTTTTGCAGAAGCAAGTCTCCCCTAGAGTCCCACCGTAGTCAGTGCAGAGAGAGAAGGGCTCTTCCAGAAGTCTGTTCAGATTGTCTAAAACAAGGTTTCTGCTCAAAATAGCTTTTTTAATTAGTCTCTTTCTTATTTTCTCTATACTGGCCATGGATTGACCTAAGGAGGTTAACCTCCTTTGGCTAAATTTAGTCTGTGAATAACCCTGCCACCTCCAAAACTCAGCTACTTTCATCTGGTAATGGTTCACAGCCTCTTTGCATTCATTTTGCCTGGAAATACTGATGCTGACAGAGAAGGAGAGGTTATAAGTGTTCTACTCCATGGTTGTTTTGCTCACATCTTCCATTTTTTATTTATTTTATGTAACGATACTATTCTGTGTAAAATTTTCATTCTTTGTCATATATAGGTTACTGACCTGAAAGTTATACTCAGAACATATAAGTGATTTCACTTAATTCTTCAAATAAATATTAAGGCCACTGTAAAACTGAGGAAAAGATTTAATTGCAGACTAGGCAGACAGAGAAAAAGGTCTTGAAAGTTGAAATCATGATTCACAAGCCTAAAAAAATGAAAAAATAAACCAAAGAGAAACCTTTCATCACCAACCTCCAGTTCTTCTTCTCTCCCACCCAAACTAATTCAGTGGGGTTTTTTAAGCCTTTTTAATTGAAATAATTTATTTTTACCTCAAGCACAGGTTATCATAAATCAGCAAAGAAACAGTAGTTATTTTCACATTTTTTTAATAAAGCAAGAGGGCAAATACAGATAGCAGTTATGATAAATATATACACTCCTGCTACATCAAGTTACTGCCCTAATTGTGAAGGTACCAAATTTGCTGAAATCAGAAAAGAATAACTTTGCTTTGCATTGATACAGATGTGGATCTTGGTGTGATTCACAAGGGAATTTCATGGAGAGACTGAAAAAGTCCACCCTGGTCTGGAATCACAGCCATTGTATGCACCAGTCCTCACAGAACAGGATGGGGTTTAAAGCAGCAATCACATTCATGTGGGCCTTTAAAAAACCTACGTGATCTGCAGTATTCATCATGTGACATTGTTTGATGTCTATGTGGGCTGAAATGCAACAAATTTGTCACTCTCTGCTAGACTGAGAATGGAACAGGCAATACAGTCATGCCAATCACAGCCCAGACCCAGTGATTTTCATTTCCTGAAGCACTGAATTGCGTTGCCAAATGACGAGGTGCCTCTTTGCAGATTTTGCTTGTACCTGATGGGGAGGTGTGAAAATTCCCGACTATGTCTGTGGATGACCAGGTGCAGGGCATAAGGAAAATCCACTTCTCAGTGCACAGAAGATGGCAAGCTGTGCTCTCTAGAGATGGCGCCCATGCTGATTGATACAAAAGAAGCTTGTAGGTGATATTCTGCTATAGGCTAGGGTGACTAGTAGGAAACCCAGATTTTCTGAAAATTTTCAAAAACAATAATTCTTTTTAATCTCTTCAAGTTACCTTAAGGACATCTGCTTGTAACATACTGATTAATTAAGTCAATACTTTTTAAAAGTGCACTGCAGATCATTAAAAACCAAAAACACTCAGCTGCTGTTCAAAGGTCTATCCTGCAAGAATTTATCTTAATGACAAGGTCATCATTGGCTTTAATAGTTCAAGGTTATGATATAATCATTGCATATTACCTGCTGAGAGCTAGATCCTGATCCTAAGAGGTAGGAGCAGCTACCTCTTAAAGACAGGGCACTCCAGGAATAAGATGTTTCTTTAGTTGAACAAGGATTTTTTAATCTAGCCCCTAGATTCAGAACCCTGGTGTCATTGCAGAAGACATAGATGCTTCTGCAAGACTCCAGGGGGGTGTCCAAAGGTGTGTTTTTAGTGGTTTGACACACAAGAACAAATCCCAAGGAGCAGATTCTTTCTCTGTCTTGTATATTCTGCTTCCAGCCCCCTCAACTGAATGAGCAGGGCTTGTATGAGTGCTCTGAGTAAGAGAAGTGGGATCTGACCCATGTTGTCATGACCCATGTAATGCACACCTGAGTCTGACTCCACAGCATGTATCCAGAAAGGGCTGAGCACATTTTCACTGCTTCAAGAGGAGGTAAAATGGAAATTTCCGGGCAGTCTTTCTGCAAGGGATGTCCCACAAACATGGTTAGCAGAGCAGATGCCTCACAACTGCATTTCACCTGGCTTAAAAATAAATTGCACCCAGGAACCTCCAGTGATTAAGGTGTAGCATGTAACTGTCCTGCGCTAGCGTCAGAGCCCTGGCTGCAATGAAGTAGCATTGCCTTCGTACCTTGGAGGAGATAATCTGCATTGGCTCACTTTTTGTACACTGGCAGAGACCTTAAGCTCATGTGTATGATCCTACCAGAGCTGCTTTCTAACCTACCAAAGAAAAATTAAGGACATTCGAATTGGAGCTCCTTTTTTCTGTGTAGACCCTTGGATGGCTCACATTTGAGCACAGAGCATTTTAAGCTGTGTGAGTAAGTTCACAAGTTGTGTTCACCTTATTTCTGCCATCGTCAAAAGGAAGAATCTCTTGCTCAAACACAGCCCCATAAACAACAAACGCTGACATCTGATGCAATTTAAATATTCCTGATTCCTGTTGCCCACCCTGGGAACCTGGACCCAACAGTCACACATTTACATCATATAAAGGAAGGGGAGGACCTCACCCACAGAGTAGGAAAAGCTCAACATTGCACAAAGCATCCATTGAGAAGTAGCGAAGGTTCAGGGTAGACAGTTTCTCCAACCAAAATACCACTTCTGCCAAACCCACCTCTTTGGGTGGATCGAGTTTACATAAATTGCTCACCGCCTACATAAACAAAATCAAAGGAAATTCAGGGTGCCTGCAACATGTATTTTTCAGTGGTTTTAGATACCTTGACACCTTGACCTGTTTCTTACAGTCAGGGCCTTTAATTGCAACAAATAATCAATATTTCCTGAGCCTAGTGAATAGGGTGAGATAATTATGCAGGAAGCCTATGTTAACTACTTTTAAAAGAGCAATATGCTCTACCACTAATGGTGTATTCTGAGGTCTGCCACTGACCTCGGGCATCACACCTGAGCCACAATTTTCAAATTTGCTTGTCTGAAGAGAAGCAGAGATTGTCGTATTTGGGCATGTAAATAAACAGCCTGGTTTCCTCCAAAACCCTTTAAAGTGTGTCAGGCGGGGGCCTGAACACTGAGGTCTCTTAATCACATTGGAAGCTTTAAAGAAAGAAACTGCTGCAATGCCAGTTGTAATCAGAATTGGTGAAAAACAGTGATGGTTTGTTCGCAGCTCCTTCTTTGAAAGAGTCATTCAGCTTGCACTTTTCAGCCCGGTAGCCTGAGGTGTGGCCCGCTGGTGAAACAGCACCTCTAAAGCCACGTAATGTTGTATAAACGTTTGGCATGAGGATGCTGAACAGCTGCTTAAATTATAGAGGGCACTGGTAAGTGAAGTTCCTACTGCCTCTCTGAGTGAACACAGACATTTCTCATTAAAGACCCAAATCCACAAGGTGTTGGTCACTCTTAACCTTCATGGAGGTTTCTTCTGAAAAGAATATCTGTGTGGTTGGGAGCTCTGGTCTCTCAGTGGGAATTTAACAAGCTATTTCCATCTGTTGCTGCAGGCTGTGTTTCAGAGCGCAGGTTCATTTGTGACTCATGTTTCTTTTCTCTCCTTCTTTCCCTGCCCCCTTTCTCATCTTCTTTCCTCTGCAGAGGGGGTAAGAACGAGCCAGAACCAGAGCAACCAATCCCTCGAAAGGTGCAGATTCGTTCTCTCCCTTCCTTGGAGGATATTGATCCAGACGTGTTAGATAGCATGCACTCGTTAGGCTGCTTCCGTGACCGAAATAAACTCTTACAGGACTTGTTGTCGGAAGAGTAAGCACTTCCTCAGTCTTCATATCAGTTGGGTGTCCACGGGCTGGGATGCTTATAAACCTGGGGAGAGGTAGAGAGCGCTTTAACTCATGTCTCTTGATGTGAGGGACTGTAGCAACTTCTCACCCCCTGGCTGCTCCTTTGCTAGTGCGGTGCTGGGAGCAGGCACCGAGCCTTTGTTGCACCCTGTGTCAGAAGCTTACGCCCTGACAGTCACGGAGGCATGGTGCTGGCTCTTCCCTTGCTGCCAGGCAAGGTCACCTCATGAAAAGCTGGGCCGTGCAGTCCAGATGGGGAGGTGTTATTGCTTTTATTTGTGTGGGATATGCCTGTTTGGAAAACTTTTATTTATTTCAAGCTTACACCTGAGAGCTGGTGTATTCCCCGAGGTGTTAAGACACGTGGTGGAAAGAGCATTTAAAAGCTCAGGACCTGTCTTACTGCCACTCTTGGTTTGGACTTCCTGTGGACACTACCTCATCTGTCTTGTGCTTCTGTTCTATGTGTGTAACATGGGAATTGTATTTCCTTTTCTCACTAGCTGCTTGTTGGAGACCGCAAGGTTCTCAAAAGTTTTGTGGGATGTGTATCTAGCTGGCAGGTACATGACCATTTCCAGCTTATTTAGAGTAACTGTAACTGTTTGATGAGAAGGGTTTATCTACATGTTGATGGTTTTTTCTCTTCAAATTTAAAGACTTTTTTTTTCTTATTTTCAGAGAAAACCAAGAGAAAATGATTTATTTTCTTCTGCTTGACCGGAAGGAGAGGTATCCTAGTCATGAAGATGAGGATCTTCCCCCTAGAAATGAAATAGGTACTACAGATATGACCTCTGTCACCATGAACCCATCTCATCTAGTTCCTCTTCACATTTTTTTTTTTTTTAAATATATACCCAGTCGCTAGCATCACTGATACCTTCCCACTGAAACAGTGTACAGCAGCGGTGAGAATCCTCAGCCTGAGGCAGGCAGGTCTGTTCTGTGGTTAAACTCAAAGGCTTCATTTTTCAGGACATGTCTGTCTCAGTGCAGAAACATCCAAGTTGGTCTTGAACCAGATCTTAAAAACTACCATGTGAACCCACAAGCTGGCTCTGTGTAAGCAGATGAGGTTTAGAAGTGGTATAGTCTAGCGGCAGAGTTTTATAATTACTAATCTCCATGCGGTATTGCAGAAATGCTGCTTCTGGAATTGAGCTAGTAAGACTGTGTGGCATTGCATCCCTATGAAGTTATATATGTACACATTCTCTTTTCTGTAGGTAAATGTATACACTGTTGAAAGTATGAATAATATCAACTGTTGATAGTACATACATCAAACTCCCATGTTTTTAGACTATCTTAGAAAGATTTTAAAAACTTAATATGCGGTAAGATTATATATCTTACAAAGCTCTTGTGATACCACTTTATTCCTGAAGAATTACTCATTGGTATTTTAGGGTCCTGCTGATTGCCAAGGACTTCACTGATCTAGACAACAGGAAAAATGCTTCCTTAAAGAGCTAAGTCTTGCTGTGCAGAGTGACAAAAATTCAACTTATTAGTCACTTCTATCAGTGACCCGAAATAGCATTTTTACATAGTAATGTTGTGATTTTCAGGTATTGTATTTCATCACTTTGAAGGCTAGAAGCAAAGTGCTCTTTATTTTCACTAGAAAGCCTGGAATCTCTGAAGCCTACAGGGCAGTGGTATATTGAACTGTAAGTTTGTTAATACTCCATTGAGTTACTCCCTTATCTAAGTTCTAGGCTCCAGGCCCTATAATTTTGCAAGGAAGTCTCTTCTATAGGTGAAGAGATGGAAATTCATAGTCAACACAGTAATTTTTAAATTCTTATTTGGATGGAGTTACAGAGAGCATTTCAGAAGAGATCCTGCTGAAGATGGGTAAATGTGCCAACTGCAGGTTCTGTGGTCAAAAGCCCCTTGCTCAGTGCAGTTTGTCATCCAACACTTTACTAATCAGCTTTTGACTCAGATTATCCTGCCATGTAAGGACACCATCATCTTGTTTTAGAAATGCTTTTGTCATAAGAAAAGAAGCAAGGTGACTCTAGAATCTTCATATCCAGCATGTAAGTGAATACATAGCTATGCCCTAAATACCTCATATATCTCTTTTCCACATGCTGAAGTATTTTCATGGTTTAAACTGAAATATTGTGCTCCACATTTATATTTTTTTGTACAAGAAGTGAAAATGTTCCCCAACAGAAAAACACTACTCTGAATGTGTCATTGTGCCTCATCGGCACATTTTAGACTCTTTGAGCATTATTCTTTGAGTGTTTGTAGGTTGCATTTCCTCTTCCACAGGGGGTTTCCACCTCCTCTGTTCCCAGCAGTATCTCTGAGAACATGGGGCAAGGTTTAATTAAGAGCAGTCATGCTTCTGATGAATATCTCATCATTAGCTATTAGCAATGGCCTTGCACAAACGAAGAGCAGAGAAAAAGTAACAGATTTAATAATAGCATCTTGAAAAAAAGACATTCATGAGAAGTGTGCGTTGCCCAAGCTCTTGTCCATAAAAAAAATGCATCTTGGAGTATTTTGCTTTTTCCTCTTTTTTTGCATGTTAGGTGTCAGAAAGGATGGATGCAGGTAAAAGTATGGCCAGCTCAGACTAGCACTCTCTTCTGATGTCCGTTTTGGCTGTTTCAGCTAAATGAAGCTTTCTCATAGGGCCAGGGAAGGACTGCCTTCACCATCTTTCAAGTCCAGCTCCATTTTCTTTATCTGAAAACAGAGAAATGAGAAACTTCTCAGCAAAATGAATAAACGTCAGCTAATATCTCCTCGAGGAAAAGGCTTTTGTGGGGTGGAGTTTCTTAATAAACCAGATAACAGAGATTGAGCTAGAATAGCCATATCAGATATAGGTGCCTGATCCAAACTCAGAAGTCGAACCTTTATTTCCCACCTTCCCTTTATAAATGGGTCATTACCTATGTGATTCTTTCTTCCTCTGTAAAAATCCTTAGGAATTACTTCACTTCTCTGATGTGAATTAAAAAGAAAATACATCCTCAAAACTATCACAGATCTAGACTAGGACTTTTTTCCCCTATGTGAAATATTTCCAGAGTCAAGAAGAGAAATGCAAACACTGGAGGTTTTCATATTTTTAATTCCTGTGCTTCTGCAAAATCTTCTGCTGCTTTTATATGACACCACTTTAGTCTTTATGGCAGGATTGCTGTGTATTTAACTATAGTATCTTTAGACTTGACAGTGAGGACAGACTCGGTGCCCTGTCATTTCTTACTCAGACCCTTTTAAAAAATATATACAACACTTGCTACCCTCTGCCATGTGTAGTGTACAACTGTAACCAATTCTGAAGAGTAATCAAATACCTTTATCATGAGCTCAACCCCATTCATCCAAGCTTCTGGATGTACTTTCTATCAAACTTTAGTCAGTTGCTGTTGTTGAATTTATAGGTGTGTTTCACCACCTGCTATTTTTGCTTAGTCCCTCTCTTTGATATTTTAAAATCTTGAGCAGCAAGGACTGATATAAAAGAACCATTTAGCTTATTAGTAATAAATTTCGACTTTTTAATTGTGCTGTTGATTTCCTCATGGTCCATCTGGCTACTGTCCTTCTCTCGAGCTTTCTCTTTCTGATGGCTGTGCAAAACACTGTTATTCAAGTCTTTAGCTAATTCCTCTTCAGTCTTCTCTTTTAATGTCCACTGTATATTTGGCCTGTCATTTTTGTAAGTGTCACTCAGCTGAACTGCCATTTGCTAAAGTCTTGTGTTTTGAACATGCTTGGATCAAATTGCCTTTTAATATATCTGTTCATAAAATGTTTTACTTGCCTTTTTCCATCTTTCTTGTTTAGCCTCCATTATTAACTAACTTTGATGCAGTCTGAGCTTAGTCATTAGCTGTGTTCTTCATCTTCCTTCTTTTTCCTTTCTTTTAAACTGCACTTCCACCTTTCTTTCTAATGTCTGATATCCCTCTGTAAACCTTGTATCAACTCTCTGTTGTTGATACCAGACATAATTACATTGTGGTTATGTGTGTCATGCGGCTCTAGTCACACTTCTGATAGCAGCGGTTGTCCTGTGAGATTAATCCTTTCTCGTTCTTTGAACTTGTTTGAAGAAGCAGGAGTTTGAAATGTCTAAACCTTACCCCAGCTTACTTTTGACCGCTCACATGTGTGCAGCTGAAGTCACCCACTATAACTGCTTTATTAGGTTTATCTCCCTTTGTTTTTCCCTCAATTATATGCACTATATGTTTTTCCTAAAATACTTTTTTTTCCCCTTATTTTTCCTATTTTCTACTATGTTTTTATTACTGGACATAGTTTGAAATGGAGTGAGAGAAAACTGTGCTTTTTTGTAATTAATTTTTGACAGGAACATTATTTCTATCAATACAAAGAATACTTGGGTTATACAGTAATGGGGTCAGTTGTTATCACTATCACCTTTGGCATTTGAGCTGCCTTTGCTCGTGCTCATGGTTTCAAGAGTAAAGCCTGCCCTAAAGAGATCTTGTTCTGGAAACCATGGTGTGAGAGAGGGAAGAAACAAGCAAGTAGATGGGGGGTGTGAGGAGGGCAGAATAATGAAAATAACACCATGATACTAGGCATTAGAGGTAGAATTGTCAAATGCTCTATTTCTGGTTATACAAGGAGTCCTGGCAGAGGAAGAAGCCTTAGGGGCTGGGCACTGTGAGCTTCTTTCTACCTGCAGGGGTGAAGGATACCTTTTTTCGCAGGTGGTCACTCTGCTAAAATGAAAAATGTGTCTATAAATAGGGAAGGGAAGTAGCTCAACCAAAGAAAATAAAATCCTTCTATATTTTTTTTCCTGCCTTCCTCTTTTTTACTGTTTTGATGCCATGAGAGACGTTAGTAATAAAACATACCAGCAGGTCTGCATTTGGTTCCCTGCCTCACCATGGAGGTGTGTATGGTTTGGCAAGTCACCTTCTGCAGTGCAGTTTGGTATCAAAGACTTTCCAGAGCAATTTAGGTGCTCCTCAGAACCTCAGCAAATGTTTGTCAGCACCTTTAGGAATGAATTGCTTTTAAATATCTCATTCTTACACCTCAGTTTTCATTCTGCAAAGTGAAAGTAGCACTTCAATACCTCATAGAAATATTACACAATAAAAAGTATAAAGCACTTCAGTTACTATTGCAGTAAAAGCTGTATGATGACCTCTGAGATAAATTTCAGTAGCTCTCATTGGAGATTCATCTCAGGTAGACAAGTATGTTTAATTTGTAATGCTGAAGGAGGAGAAATATAAAGCGGTGGGGAAAATCTGAACTATGATCTTAAAGATGCAAAAAAAAGGGTATGTTTCAGGGGAGAGTTCAGAGTGTACTTATGTCCCTGTGTCACATTTAATCCAGCTAGCAGGGACATCGAAGGCAACCTGAGCACATATACAGGATCCCTAGATGGCTTATACTCTGGCTAACAGCTTGTGTTATAGCCCATGCTGTCATCTTGTTATTACTGTTATCAGCTTTGTAAGGTAATTTCTGCAAGCTATGCTACAGTTGTACCTTTATTTTGCAATGCTCATACATTCAGGGCACAGTAGCGGTGCTCTTGCTCTCTGTAGATGGATTGCAACTTATGTTTGCAAATTTGGAAGAAGGAAGAGACTGCCAATGTTGCTCTCTATCACAACGATCGCTGTAGGGGAGGTGAGAGCGAGGTTGTTGAGAGAGGATTTAAGCAACCTGTGCGAGGTAAGTCGCAGCCGAATTCAGCTGACAGCGTTTTCTTTTCATAAAGATCCCCCCAGGAAGCGTGTGGACTCCCCAATGCTCAACAGGCATGGGAAGAGGCGGCCAGAAAGGAAGTCGATGGAGGTTCTCAGTGTGACAGACGGCGGCTCCCCAGTCCCTGCTCGCAGAGCTATTGAAATGGCACAACATGGACAGAGGTGGGTCTCTCCTTCACCCAGGAGTCCTGCCTGTCTGGGTTTGCTACCCCCTTTTGTGTTATACATACAAAGGAGCTGTGGAGCTTTTCTATTCACACAAGCATTCATTACAACTTCCAGGCACATTTGCAACGTGATCTGGCAGCCAGCAGCGCTTACGCACGCACCACCAGAAGTCCTGCCAGGGGCTTAAGGGTTCTGTTCGCTTGCAGCTATTGCTCAGGAAACCACCACGTCCTCTGGGCAAGATTCATCTCACCTCTTTTTAATTGTTGAGAACATAGGCATTTAGTCTAAACTTGTGATACAGGCTGTCGCTCTAGGCAATGGGGACAGACCAGGGCATTGGAAGGTCTCAGATACATATGTCCTCTGTTCCAACAATCTTAGACAAAATAATTTACCCTCTGGTTGTTCCTCTCTGTCTCCATAGCCTACAACAGAAATCTAGATGACTCTCTTGGATTAGGTGCCAAGCTTTTTGGCACCCAAAGTTAAATGAGGTGAACCCCACCCTCTATGTTATCAGAAAAGCTTCAATCTGGAAAGCCCTGTCCAGGCATCTGTAGATGCCTCTAAAATGTGTTGTCAGAACCAGCATGCATCTGACCCACATAAATTACCACATGCGTGTAAAGTGATGGAATATGTATAATTTTGCCTCTTTTCTATCAAAGAAAGTGTCAGTCTTGTGGAGAAACAGCAGGGGAAAGCGGTGTCTTCTTAAGGCAGGTTCAGGGAGAGTAAGCGAACTGTGGAAGTTCACTTATATGAACCATGGAAGTTGCTTCCTCAGTCCCTATGACTTAGCCTAAGGGAAGCACCTGCATTTGGATTCACACTTGCATAAATCAATCAAAATAAAAAAAAACTTCATGTGTGTATGATGATGATGCTGTAACTTCTGTTACAGCTTTATGACATGATTTTATTGTTCAGCTGTTAAGATCTGCTCAAAACCAGCCTGCTGTGCCCAGAAACTCCCTTTGCTGACTGAGAACTGGGTGAAGAACATGAAATAATTTCATGTTCAGAGGTCTCTAGAATTGCTGGAAAGTTTTGCTGGCAACTGTTACGGTTCTATCTACAGTGAGGAAAAGTGGTGATTTCCAGAATCTGCTAGAACTTGTTTCAGACTGGATATATGGCTTTGAGATACACTGCCATAAAGATTTTTCATTGTAGTGTAGTCTGGAAACCTGTCTTGAGTATGTGGTTTGCTTTGGTGTGAGGTCTGGGTGAAGGAAGTGTTCAGGACAGGGTGTGCTCAGTGTTCCTCACGGGCCTCCAAGTGACAAGGATGAACACAGCACTGACAAACAGTTGCTCACTCCTTGCTCAGCTTGCAGGGTTTAATCTGGTACTGGTAGATACGTGGGCCACGAACTTCCCAGAGCCAGGCAGAGGCAAATCACTTCCCCCGCCCCAAGGCTGCTGTGAGCCTGCAGCTGTTTACAGTTAGTGCCCAACTGGGTGGAACAAATAGGAGGTGTTAGGCTGATCCCAAAGTTTCCTGAGAGCTGAAACCTTTTCTTCCAGCTCTCAGCTTTGACTTTGGATTCAAAAGTCTGAAGAGGCAAAGCTGTATCTTGCTATCCAAAATATTCCTTTTGCGTTTTGAAATCTCACTCAATTCTGCACATGAGGAAACAGTTGAAGTCAAAAGGTTCAGAGCAGGGACATCAAGGTGACATGTCAGTAAAGAAAGGTTTTAGCTTAAGGAGGAAGCAAAACCTGCCAGGCACAAGAGAGACACAGGGCAATGCATACCACAACTCAGGGCTGGACATAAAGGTGTGATTAAGGGTGGAGAAAGGGATGCAATAACACCATGATTGATGGTGATGGGCTAGGTAGTGTTTGTTTTGGAAGGGGTTAAAGGGAAGATGTTATTTTACTCTATGTGTGAGCTTCCATAATTCATACCATCCACATCCACAGATGACAACGGCACATTTTTGTGTTGCTGGCAGCACAGTCGTTTATAACGTGAACTGGCTTCATTAACGAACACCACTGCATGGGAATTGTCTGGGGACGATGCATTGCTGATGGGGCACCATCTGTCAGAACAGTCAGTAACAAAATGACAAGTGCCTTCCACCAAGAGTGGGGGATTTTTAATGGCTAGTCGCATATTATATTCCATGAAATGACCCACCAACAGTGGATTTTACAGCAGTAGGGCTTAGATCCCAGAGGTGGATGCTTTTTTAAGAATGACATTTTTTGGTCTTAACAGATGACTATTCAGTGCTTTTATCCTACAATACTAGGAAGACAAGGAGGCGGACTATGGAAACAGGTCTCCTGTTTAGACACAGATGAGTTGTGTAAACATCCAGAGACACTGAGCCATTGCTTCTTTCTTGAGCTGGCAGAGATACTTTTCTAACCAGTGGGCAGAACACACCCATGTGTCTTGTGATTTAGTCCTATTGTCCTCTCTCCCAGTAGTAAACAGATGTTTGCTTGCATAAAGGGGATTTATGTTACAACCTCTGGTTTATGTGTCTGTGTGATGAACTGTGCTTTTGGTAACCATGTGGGGACCCTACAAGTGTCTGGTCTTGGCTTGTTTAAGGGCACATCTTTCCATGGAGATCTGAAACTTGGCAGCCTTCAGCCCTACAGGCTGAGAAAGTATTAAGTGCAAAGCATAGTCCTTCCGTGACTTAGTTTTGGATAATGGAGGAGGGGAACTCAGCACCCAGGCTGCTTGTTGAGTTTACAGACTCCTTGAAATGCTTGTGCTGCCCTCTCCAACTGTTCTCCATTGGGTCTTCGTGTATGGCAAAGTTAGTATGCACAAACACCAGCTACCCTAAACCTGGTGACTAAGTTTTTGTTAATTCTTGGTTTTCCCTGCTAGTTGTCAACTAAGTGGGTTCATAATTATGTCTTAATTCCTTCTGTTGTTGTGGTATCCACACCTCTCAGACTATCTGGTATTTCGCTGAAATGTCAAAAGAAAAGAGGTGGGTTCTGAGCTTAGTTTAACACCAGCTAATTTGTCCCTTGTGCCAAAATCACACAGACTAGGAAGGATTCCATGGGAGCTAGAGTCCCTCAGGGATATGCCAGAAATTTTCAGCAGCTCTGCTGTGAGAGTCCACAAACTGTTCTAAAATGGGCTTCATTAACTATTCATTTTCTTCTGGTTATTGAAGTGGATAGCTTGCGTGAAAGATCAGCTAACATTAGGAAGCAGTGTTCTGTGAAACAGTGAAGCATATTACCAGTGAAATATATTGCAGAGAGCTGCCCCTTTAGCAAAGCATAGGGAATTTTGCTTCTAAGCTTCAGGGATTCAGACCCAAGATGATAAAGAAGGAAATTTCTCTGTACACTGAGTATAGAGAAGAGAGTTGGGAGTAAGTGGTAATGGACTCTACAAATCAGAATACAAAATGGATTACTGTTCCTCTAAGAGGCTCTACGGTCCGATTTAACCTTTTCCCAGATTGTGCTTAGTGTTGAGGTCTTCTAGAAAAGTCTGAGTAATGAGCGCTTTGCAATTTGTGCCTTCAGGCATGTTCTGTTTTCCCTGGACAATATGACAAAGTAGATGGTACCTGGGTTTTCAGTTGGATAAAGGAGAGCAGAGTTTACAAATATTTATGGGGGAAGTCGTCTTAGACCTCAGAGGTCAGGGGGAGATAATGAACTTCAGCACTGTGTAGGCTTGAGCCATAGTTGGAAGGTAAAAGAAAGGTTTTTCGGAGCATTGCTTAAAAAGGGGAGGATGGGTTGGGGGGCTGGGTGTCCAGCATTGCTTCAGGTGACTCTCTTTTATAAATGTCCACACTAGTAACTCTGTTTTCTCGCTTTGTTCCTGCCATAGTAAAACAATGTTCAGTAAAAGCCTGGATATCTCTGAAGCCAATCCCAAATTCAACAAAGAAGAAAGGTATAAACACTGACAATATGTTCCTCTCCTCTACCTCACTGCTGAGACCTTAAAGATGCAGTACTTACCTTCTCCGTGTGGGGACATAGCTGTTCTCTCTTTAGAGAAACAAAGAGGGTGGGATATTTACAGCCCCACACTACATATATTTTTGTACAGTACCGTTCATTTGAGGCTATCCCCAATGCAGCCTGTGACTGTACTAATGTTTTCCCCACTAAAATTCCATCCTACTGCTACTTCTCATCCAGTTCTGCCATGAGTGAGGATGCCCAGGGTAGAAGATGTATTTGCTAAGACTGCTTTAGGAAGGACTGGAATATAGAACACTAGGAAAGCCCAGAGTGCTCCACTCCCAGCACTAGAAATAGTAGCACAACTCAGTCAGTGACAACAGTGGTAGGAAATTTTAGAAATCCTGTCTAACAGAGCAAAATATTAAGTGCCTGTAGGTAAAAGACAAACTCCTTAAGACTACCCTGGCTGCACCGGGGAACACAAGGAAAAGATGTTCCAAGATAGAGTTTTGAAGGATGATTCCAATGTAGCAGTTCCAGTGACATATGGTGAGGAGTAACACAAAGGGTAACTCCCAACTGCGAACAGAGGCACAATGGAAGACACTCAGGCCACCGGATTGAGGGAGTTTCAGTGGACTCATGCGGGTTCATGAACAAAAAAAAACAGGTTAGACTTTTGAGAAGGTTTTTAGTGGACATGGTCCTAAAATTTTGGTCTCAGAGGAAGAGAATTTTTCTCTAATGATAAAAGCTGGCATCCCAGTGGATAATTCTTCATCAAAATGCAATCCTTGTACATTTTGGGCAAACACTTAGCTTATCCAAAGGTTAAGTGTGTTTCATTATGATTCAAAAAGGGGGAAGCAGTGGGTTCCTTAAAGGAACCTATGGACTTGGCAAACCATTCTTCCTTCCATTTCCCCTTTTAATAGAAACTTCCTATTTAAAGATAAACATGGCCTTTAAGCCTCAGGAGACTTGTAGGATGTGTGAGGGACAGCCCCCGTTTTGGCCTTTTGCAGGCTGAGGCAGTCCTTTGTGGGCAGTGCTTCAAGACTTGAAGCTGCCACCATGAAGAGCATCATCCATCTGCAGGAGAGATTGTGCCTCACGTGGCGTGTAAAGCACCCTCTTTGAGATGCCGAGATAGGAACAAGCATTGGGCCCGAACTGTTAGAAACCTTTTGAGTTTCACAGCCATAAAGAAGTAGTGGTTATACAGTCTTTAGTGGCTGGGCTTTCCTGGACTGTTACAATAGACACGGACATTCCTGTTCCTTTCTCTGATTTCCCCTGTATGTAAGTTCTGTTCCTGAACATGTGGCACTTGCATTAAAAGTTACTCTGAAACTACTCCAAAGATGAGCTTTTCCACAGTAATTAAAAGTCAGGTCCAGTAAGAGAAGTGCAGAAATTTTATCTGTGACAGAAGGGTCTTTCAGCAGATGTTCCCATTTGTCGTCCCTCTGTCCCCCTCTAGCAGCTGCTACAGCTGTGTTAGCAACAGAGGAAATGTCCCTTCAGTAACCGCTGGGGGAATTTCTCAAATACGCACCGGCAGTTCGTGTTCCCTCTCAAAGGTGATATTTTTCAGCGTGCAGGAGGAGAGGGTTAGAGCACTGCACGGGGCTCACCCAAGGGCCTTGTCACTGAAGGACCAGGCTGAGTTTTGGAGGATCACATTTGCGCTGATCTTACCTCCCTCCCACGTCTAAGAGTTAGCACAAAGGGCCTCAGTGGTGGGAAGGTGGGAGGACCTGGATTCTGGACCTGTGAACAGCCACCTGAAAGGAACCGATAGGCAGCAAAGAGAACCCCAGCAAAATGGGGCCAGCTAATCATGGTGGCCATTAAATTTTTGGCCAGTATTTAATTATCCAACCTTATGATGACTTTTTTAAAGGAATACTGCATCTTTAAGGGTCCCTTCCCTCTAGATGCACATGGTTGTCTTAGTAGCTGAGGCCACTGTCCCTTTCTTTTTCTTTTTCTTTTTCTTTCTTTCTGACTTTCTCTTTCACCCCCTCTTTCAGTGCTTCTCTTCTTCTGTATCTGGGTTGCTACAGCTCCGTAGTTCACTTGCTTCAGTATTGTAGGGAATGCACATGTCTGCGCTTCTGGTTCTATTGTGTCCTGGGATTGTTCATTTTTTTTAAACCTCATTTCCCTTTTCCTTTTCCCTATTGTCAATTTGCTTTCCATTCTTTTTGTTAACCTCTTCAGTGCCTTCCCTGTTGGGAAAATGACTTGAAAGAAAAATTAATCAACCCTCTTGCACCCATTCTATTTACATTTTAATATTCTGCATGTGTGAATATGGGTGTATTTTCTGTACAAATATACACACACGTTCCAATATACAATGGGTGTCAATTTGCTCTTCTCAGTTACATCACTGTAGCTAGATCTGTGCAGGTACAATTGAGGACAGCGTTTGTCCTAAATATATACATATATATGTATTTGTATATATATGAATTAGATCTCACCCAAATTTGCACTCCAGGCCGAACTACAAATGGAGTGTCACTCAAACACATGAAAAAGAACTTACTGTAATGCTTCTTTCCACTTCTCTATCAATGCATAGCACAACAACTTTTTCTTTCTATTCTAACTGTGGTTTAACTTTTTTCAAAACTGCCTTGCGTTGCCCAGCCCAGCATTTGCAGTGTGGATGTATCCGGAAGCATGGCTAGTTGCACTGAGCAGTAAACTGTGAAATCTACTGGGCATATATTAAATTTGGCATTTCTGCTGGTGACTGTCTTGTGGAGAATGGATTTTCCTCACCCAGCCAGAGGTAGCTCTGGCAGCTTGGGAGCCTGTTAGTGAAAATGAGGAGAATGAGAGAGAATGAGAAAGAGGGGGGAAAAAGTGCTACATCTGACTTGAAAATAATTTGGCTTAATAACACCAGATTATTTTTTATGTCTAATCTAATCTTTGTTAATGTGAAAAGATGGTGACATTTTCTTGAGTTTGCTTACCTGCACCCCTGAAAACTTTAATGACCTGACTATTTGATTCTGAATGCTTTGGTGACTAGTGAAAAATTAAGAATACTGAAGTTTTTTGATTGTTGCTAGGCTTCAAAGTCAACATGCCAGAGATTCACTCTGCTTTTAGAGCTGCTGTTTCAGACTCTTTTCAGCACAGCATTGATTTATTCTCCATTCACATTTGAAAGATTTTCTTTGCAACATTTAAGACCCAGAGACTGAATTTATTTTAAATGAAAAATGAGATCCTGGAGCACAAGATGGCATCCACAGAGATAAGTGCTGGGTTGCTGAGCTGGTATGTTCTAGCTGATCTGAATTCCTGACTATAAGACCATCATGACTAATAAGCCGATATCAAAGCAGATTCACAGCTTGAGCTACAATCTTGTACCCTGGGCTCCCAAGCTGGCTCAGAAATGCATGCTTTAATAACCAATACGTTTCACAGTTCATTCGTGGTAAAAGAAGTACTTCTTACCAGGCCAGCCTGGGGGACAGAGGGACGCTACATGAGCAAACTGGGGACAAAAAGAACTATTTCCTTGATAACAGTCTGATATAACTGTGCCTTATGTAAGAGGCAGAAAAGAAATGCAGCATGAAGAATGAACCCCATTGCTCTGCTGACTGCTTTAATTGGGATTTGGCCGGGAATGGGTTTTTTACAGCCTTAGCATGTCCCTCTCCATATTCCCCAGTGTCAAAGTTGGATGTGTCTGCAATACTGTGAGCAGGACAAAAGTTATTTTCTGGTGATTGAAACTGTCCCCCTAGTGTTCCTGGTCTCTGAAGACGTAGGCACCAGTGGCAATAATTATGACCGTTCAGTTCTCCGAACAGTATTTCACTCTGCTTTTCCTACTCTTCTCTCCACCTGCCTCCACATCCCTCTCTCTTTCTTTCTCTCTCTCCCTCTCTCTTCATTTTCCCTTTCCGAGGATGGCGAGTGCTGATCCATTGGGGTAAGCTCTAGTTTTGGATTATTCCTGTTGCGGGACCTGTTGTATCTTGTAGAGAAACTTTTCATTTGCACCATACAAATACAATACAGGCTGATAAACTTCAGTGAATGAATCTTTACAGCAGGGAGAGAGAGAGAGAGATGTGGGAAGAAGCATTTTTGGTGCTTTTGTGTGTGTTTGTGTGCTTTTATGTTGGAGTCACACTCCATATAATTTAATTTTGGGTTCTTTTTTGTTCTCTTGTTTGTCTCTATGTTTCAATGTCTGTGGGCACAGAGAACTATCCTCAGACACTGTGCAGGTGCCAGGACACCTTCTGAGAATGAGACCCCCTTCACTGTTTAGCGCTTTTTGTATCTGTTTGGTACCCTCCGGTTAATTGTGATCCTAATTTATTCTTTTTTTTTTTTAAGTTTTTTTAAAGATGAAACTGAATCCCATCCATGTTATTAAAAAGAAGCTGGGTATTCCCTCTCTTTTTAGTATATATTTTCTGAAGAGGTGAACAGATGGCCCTAGAGACAGATATATCTTCAAAGCTCTTTATTTTCGATAAAGAGGATATAGGTACAACTAGGAATGCAGTCACGCTTCAAATTAAAGTTCCATTTATAAATACTTAACAGAAGGAGAATATTTTATTAATAAATGGTTTAATAAAAACATTGTAATAGATCACTAAAGGGTACAGCAAAAGCTTATTGAGAGGGTACATACTGTGAAAGCTAATTAGCACCAGTAACATTTACTTTTTAATTTTGTAGTGTGCTTTACTATTTATTAATTCTTTCTAAACCATTTATAAATGGAACTTTAGTATAACTGGCCAATTAAGGAAGGTGGTGCTGTTCAACATCACCCTCTGTGCGCTGAAAGGAGAAAGAGGTGTGTTACCAACACCTGAAGTCCTTTCTCTGTACTCTTTGTAAGGCTTCATCTTACAAGTAGTTATTACCATGAGTAGACCTTCGAAGTTAAGCATAAGTATTCCCAGTAAGAGCCGTTACAGTTCGCATAATTTGCATGGTTGGGACTGTAAGACAGTGGAGCATCAAAGGTATTCCCTAGATCAGGCAGCAAGGAAGCGCAGTTCGTATCTTTTGGACACCCAAGAGTAATAGTGATGAACTGTTGTAATACACAACGCCTGACTGCTCACCTGTTGCATATAATTGAGGTCATTTTCAGGGCTCTCATACCCTGAAATATAGTTTAGAATTTTTTGGTTTTATTTGAGTGAGCAAGCAAAGAGGAGTATCAAATTCCACCCAATTTATGCTCGAAGCAAATAAGAGGTTGGATGGATATTTTGGGAATGACTTTCAAAACCACACATGGAATCAAACCAATACAAAATTTCAAAGGCATTTCACCCAGGGACACAAGTCTGATGCATTACTGCACGCTGCATGCATGCTGCAGGCTCTCCCCTTCTTGGAAGCATGGCTCCAGCTTGACCAGCTAAGAGGCTGTATTCAGCATCCCGGTAAAACTGTGCTATGAAAGCAAGTTCTGCTGGGACTGCAACAAGGTACCAAACTGCCCTTTGATTGTAAGAAAAAAATTTCTGTGAAATGGTTATTCAAAGAAGAAACAAATGCTGAATCTGACCCAAACGTTTAATGCTGGCTGTTTAATGAAGCCTTTATACTCTACTGGTGTGTACTAGCAGATGCACTGTTCAAATCACCTGAAAATTAATGTGAGTGAAGGGCAATATGGAGGTGCTCTCTACACGTGCTATATGTGTAGTACAGTTACTAGGTCAGTTGCACTTTTCCTTCTTGTATTTCTCTCTGCCTAAACCTCAGCCCTTCACCTCTTTCAGCTCTCAAAAATTCTGCAGTTCTCTGAAACCAGCTGGAAACTAGATTCCAGCTCCTCAATTTCACCAGTAGGAGACCACTGGTCTAACACGAATTGGTCCTCACATGGCTTCCTCTTTCATAGCAGCTGGCTAAAATTAGTAAAAAAATTGCTTTCAAACAAAGGACCTTTTAACTTTGATACTTTGAAGTGTCATATAGATTGAATAAGGTATAAAATCGTCCCATCTACAAACTACAGCCTGCACATGCACATTTTGTTTCAGTCCTTGGCCTCTCTCTTTCATAGCTCAGACGTCTCCAGATTACTGTCAATCTATGAGATGGGAGGAATAGCCTGCAATGGTCTCAGTGCCCACCTTATGTTTAGAGTGCCCTCTACATCTTCCCCCTCCTAAACCTTGGGTCTAGCTCCCTTACGGTTTATTTTTTTAATTCCTCCCTCCAGGCTTGGCAAAACAACTATGTCACTTGAGAAGGGTCGAAAGAGTCTCTTCTTGGGTCTCTAAATCTGGCAGTTGTGTTTGAAGGAATGCTCTTTATCTGAGCAGCTGCATTAACTTTTCTGCTTGTATGTTCGCCAACTTTTGATGGCTTCCATTGAATTAGTGCCCAAGCATACAGCAATGCAAAACACAGAGCAAAGTGAGTCACACACAGTGCTCGTAGTTTGCTAGATTGTTGCATTTAGTATTAAGTTATTGGAATAATTATAGATTTAATACTTCCAATGACATTTAGTGACTGTAGAGACTCTTAGAAGTTTACTCACTAATAGATATTTCCCACTAAATAAACTTAGTTCATAGCCATAGAGATCAGATGATGTCATATTTTTCTCCTCTTTCCACACAAGATCATCCAGGGTCTGCCATACTAATGTGCTGCCTGTAGGGCCTCATGCTTTTATTTTCTGGTGAGAGGGATAAAAATTTAAATTCTCTCCGTTCTTTCATTACAGCATTTCAGCATAATGGAACGTTTTCATTACTTTCTTTTGGCCCTGTCCCAGTTCTGTCCACCTGACTCTGAGATACAGGAGCAGTGTATGTAGGGTTTTTTTTAAGAAAAATGAATTCTAGCATTTCCCAGTTAAGATGATCTTGATGGGAGGGCCAAATCTGTCATTTTTGCTTGTTAGCATTTTTGTACTGGAGTATAGTACCTGCCACTCTACTGAGTTTTTATAGCTGGCTCGAGAACCATATCCCATTTGTAAAGGTAAATTATGGAAGATTTATAAAATTGAAGAAGATGCAAGGATAGTCTGGGTGTCCTATCCCATACCAGCACTTTCTGGTAAAGTGGAAAAGTTTTGAAAATGTGCAGCTCTCTCTTCACCCCAACACTTAAAATTAACCCAGCATTCTTTAAACTCTTTCCACTGCTCCTATATACAATTTCCAGTGTGGACAAACTAAAACGTGCTATAGGGCCTACTTTACTTCTTACGTATTTTGCATGTAAATCAGCAGCAGAAATAAAGTTTGTTTGATAGCAGTCATGTGGATACTGAATGCATTTCCAGGAGGATTTCACACTAACTCTCTCTTCTGTCCCCTACCTCAGGCTCCTAGGCTGGATGAAAACACAGTACACAACAACTCTTTTTCAAATATTGCTTCCAATAAGGAACTGGGAGTTGGGAGGTGGGGCCTGCCATGTTTTGCCCTCCATGTGTATGATTGGTTTTGTAAAAAAATAGGAGGCAATGGGGTTGGGAGGGGAGAATTCAGGACTGTTGGAAACACCTGATTGCAAAAAGGAAATAGCAGTTGGAACTTATAATCAAGTATCCTGGAATTCAGGTGAGTGTCAGAGAGGACTTTCCCACCACAGTTGAGTTGGTGGGAACATCTCCTAGTGGGAGTTTAACTCCTAATAGGTGTTTAACTGCATCTCTGGGCACCTAAATGCCTTCCACATTTGTCCAAGATAATCTATAGGCTCCTCTTATAATTTATGGTTTGGAAGGAGCTTTTCCTGATGACTCATACGAGAAAGATTTTAACTAAATGGACTTCCCATATGTACGACACATCTGTGTTGCACTCAGCTACTTCAGTTATAGGCGAGGCACATAAAATAGCCTTTCAGAAGAGAAGCAGACGGTTCTCCCCTTAAAATTACTTTGCATAAAACCTTTACGAGTGCCCCAGATCTTGATGGTACAAATTTAGGTTTAATCTAGTGCAAAAGAATGCCAAGACTGAACTTCTAGTTTTTGACTGCTGCACTATGATGGGCAGACTGCAGCAGGGTACAAGGGAAAACGCAGGTGGGGAGTTTCTTGCATAGAATTAGTGCCCCAGTTTTTCACGGTGCAAATTTAGATTTAATCTGGGGGGAAAAAAAAAAAAAAAAAAAAGCATGTAGAGATTGGGCTTCTGGGTTTCACCTGCTTACCATGATGGACAAACTGCAATGAGATACAAAGAAAACCATCAGTGAGTAGTTTCTGCAGAGGATACAAATAGTGAGAACAGGACCTGCCATTGTGTTCAGTTGTAGCTTACTCTTTCCTTGGAAATAATTCCTCTTTGCACTTCACATATTTTGTTATATATGTCTGGGACACCATTTTAAAAACTGATTTTTTTTTTTTGTTTTATTCTTCTATAACAGTAGAAGAGAGTAAACTGAGACAATTTATGGTCTAAATTTGCTTTTTATTCTCTTATGTGTAAGCTGACATTAGCTATCTGACCTCTATCAATTTGAAATATATGTGTGTACACACACAGAGAAACACATATGCATACACGTACACACATGCACTCTGTTTGCCAAGCATCTACAGGATCTTACCTTTTCATGTTTGTCACCTGAAGGCACATAATTGCTTTCATGGCTCTTACTGTAGGTGAAACATTGGTAGGTTTGCTCTACTGACATGTTGCATGGTGGTTGTTGAACAACTAGATTCTTAAAGTCCTCTCCTATAAGATGTTTCAGTCTTCAAGACAACTTTCTATTTAAAAAGAATAGAAAGCAGGTGCCTCTGGGCCTTGCTCATTTACAGTCATACGGAGGAGGTTTTTTCCTGCTGGGCAGCCCTCCTCCTGGAAACTTCTGCTGCTGAAATGTTTGTGCATTTGGCCTGTCTGCCCTTTCAGCTCCTTTAGCATAGCACATTCATGTTTTATTGTCTACAGCTGACATTTTTCATAGGTGGCCTTTGCTAGAGAGCATAGGAGCATCACTGTGTAGGTGACTTTGTCAGCAAATAGAAGGACAGTTTATTCTCCCTTGACTGGCCTCTCTTTGAGGGCACCTGGGCTGTTATCTTGGTATTAGTAGAGTCATCAACAACAACAGAACTCGTTATCCATAGAGAAGACCTGACTAGTTTAATGCAACAGCAGGAAATCTTACCAGAGAACAAGGATGTGAAATCCATCAGTAAGAAGCTGGTAAGGGTTAAGTCAATGTGAGCTTTGATTTCAGTGGGAAGTCATCACATAGAAAAGGATTGTGTGCCTGGGTCATGGAGACTTGGTTTTTTTCTTGCTATCTGGAAGAATCCCCTACCTTTGTGCCTTGTACACATGGTGCTTTTCCATGTTGCTCGTGACAGAGAACGTCTCATTCTGTGTCCACCAGCACTATGCAGGAGAGAGTTCTTAGCACCAACGTGAAGGCCTTGACAGTCCTTTTTGAATTCAGCAGTTCAGCTTGCACAGGTCAGACGTAGCTTCCATGTGCTTGATAACCAAAAAGAAGGTAGCAACTCCCTTAATGAAAGGGATTGTAGTATCCTCCCTGAGCAACAGCATTTCTTTATTTTGAGGGTGGGACAACTGAAAAATGTGACAGTAGTGAAAGGAAAGAGTCATGTGCTTTTCCAGTGACAGCCTCCCTCCTCCTCCTCACTTCATGCCTGTGCCTGTGGTGGCTGGTGTTCAGGGTTATTCCTTGTCCAAGTTTTCTGAGGGCTGTTTTTCCTTATTGTGTCCATTCAGGTCTCGGTCAATCAGCGGAGCATCGTCTGGGCTCTCCACCAGTCCTCTCAGCAGTCCAAGGGTAAGTGGTGCGGCTTCAAGATCTGTTGGTCCAATTCACTCACACGTGCTTGATGCTTTTCGACATCTGTTGCTGCAGAGCTGTGGCTCTTAGCTGGGATGTTTTGTTTTTCCTTGGCAGCTTGTAAATTTTCATGGGTGGTGAGGGAAATGTATTTACAAATGCAAGCAGAGAATTTCTCATACGTGTTCCCTGCACTGTTAGCAGGGATCTCACTGTGCCCTTGCCCTTTTTCAGTCTCATAAGCACATAGAATAACGTTGCTATGACTAAACGCTGCCATATCCAGCTGAGGCCTCTATACTGCGTGGTTTCAGACCAAGTATCAGGAACCATTTCACAGCTACCTTCAATCAGGCCACAGTAGAGCACCAAACCATGCTGGTTACAACCAACTTGATTCTGTTTGCCTCAGAATAGCTTGTGTTAGAAAGTCAGAGAAAATAAATTCTACAAATTTGAGGGCTAGCAAATTTAAAAGGAAAGTAAGAAGTTGACCAAGATGAGAAAAGAACACTCAAACCCCTATGTATAAGGTACACTCACACGCCCTTATTCAATATACAGTCAACTAAATACCAATACTCGACTGATACTCAGCTAGTACCAAACGTGCTTGATACTACATCTGTTGCAAAGCTATTATCCGTTTCTAAGTGCAATGACAGAGGTTTCCCTTTCCTTGGTAACTGCTTTAGGGATAAGAGTGAGTGTTCCTACTGTCTGACAAGGTCAGCTTAGTCACTTCAAGAGTGAAGTCCTTACAAAAGTCTAGAGCTCATCAAGAAGTCTGTAGGGCTGTGGCAATCCATGTTACCTGGTTGTCTAGCCCAGAGTCTTTGGAGGATTTCTATATACTTTTCATGATTTCATGAGAAGATGCCATCCCCCATTGGAAATGGATATATTCAGTGTGTTGGATACACCTATGGATCTACACTTAGGTATATAAAGATAACATTAGTGATCCAAGTGTTTAAAATTCTAATTGCCCAGTAGTTGTGTGTCATTCTTATGCATAAAGACACACTGTTGGGTGTAAGTTTATAGGCTAGTAAAGCTTCCAACTCCTTGCTTGATTGAACAATTTTCTGAAACATATTCCATGTTCCTACCAGTTGTTACCCTGTTTTGCAACTGGCATGAATGTGTTTGTAATCTCTGCATCTTAAGCACGCCAGGAACCAGTGAAGATCCATTTCCTTGTTTCTGCACTGGGACTCCTGGATTTGAAGGAACGAAGCAGAGAACTCTTACGCCACTGCAAAATGTACTGAAAAAGAGCATGGAAACAGTTTTGTGCGCAAAATAATATCCAGTGCAGCAAACCTAAATCTTGATCTCATTAACTGATCTCTTGGGATCAGTTTCTGACATCTCAGTAGGACTGGATCAAAGAACAAGAATGACAGGATCTGCTCCATAGTTGCTGTATCTTACCATTATTACTTAAGAGGCAGTTGATTAAATAGTCTTCAAAGGGATTTAGCAACCAGATGGCATTCTCAGCAAATCATAACAATATTAAGGCAGGTCAAATTTGAGGCTTAAAAGGAAACGTTGGAATAAAATTCATATTTTTTTAAACGTCCTTACCTATGCTTCCAATAGCACCTTATATTATTGAAAGAGGACATACTTTAAAAAGCAAATACACATTTCACTGTACGCGCTGCTTAGGTTCAGTTCTACGAGGAATTGAATTCAACAGCAGCTGAGAGTTCTTAAATCTCACAAGATCTTGTTAATGGTGTTCCCCAATGCACCAGCTGAAATACAGACCGAATCTTGTTCTTTATTGCGTTACTAAAAATGCAGTAATTAAGGGTGCACCTTCAGATTCTTAACGGCTTAAGTGGGAGTTGAATTTGACTTTGTTTCTTTCAAATTTGTTTCGCAAACGATCATACACATAAGATACAAAAATTGCAAGGAAACATTTACAATCAACAGTCTTTGACTTTTATCCATCGGTGTAATTTTCAAATCATTAATAGTCAAATGCTGATAGTGATTTCCATAAATTCACCACTTTCTTCGTCTTTTCCCCTTTCTTTCTCATTGGTGATCAGAATGTACCAACATGGCAGACTTTAGTTCAACTTTATAATCCTAATAACAATACAGATGTCTTGATGTAGTGATCTTCTTTTAATTTTGGTGGCCTAACACTAAGTTCTTTAAAGTAATTACGAAACTTTGATCCAAACAATTCTAGGAATTAAGACTTTAATACGTTTCTGCATTTTTTAAATATGGTGACACTGTGCTAATCCATCAAACCCAGAAAGTAAACTCACTAGTGAGTGTGCTTACTTGGGACTGAGACTTGGGGCATGGTTACATATGTACATGGTATGTCTGGACAGTGCTTGATTACGGCTTTTAGGTGTTAAGAATGGATAATAATAATGGTGATAATTTATAATAGGTACTATTTATAGAAATCAGAATTTGAGTGCAGACCAAAGCTAAAGATCTTGAGTAGTGATTCCTGTTTTTACAATTCTGCCAATACTTGTAATCTAAGGTGTTAACGGCAGTGTTTTGTAAGGACATTCGTTTTGTTTCAAATGTGATTTTTAGCTTGCTAATATCCCTTTAAAAGGCTTCTATCCTCCCAAGTCTGTGTATTGCTGTTTGCTGTCGACATGTGAATGGTTTCCCAAAATGTCTGTAACATGTGTAAATGTTCTTGTTT